GGACCCCTTGAAGGAATCGGAGGCCGTAAATCCCACCCACCCACCCCCTTACCTGTCCGATTGTCTAGGAAACGAATCCCTCGGTCATCGTGCGCCGTGATGGTGACAGGCTGGGTGGGGTGACTCACCACTTGGTTGATCTGACTGGCTCCTGTGCCAAGGCAAGAGAAAGGGAATGCGCTCAAGTTCAGTGATCGCCAACCAGTGGGCCGGGGGCCACTGGTGGTCCGCGAGAAAATTTTGGTGTTCCGCAGAGAAATATCATCCCCAAAGCAATTAATCCAGGCTGCGCAGGAACACAAGGCTTGCGTTGCTTGCGTTGTGAACACCACGAGGGAGTGAGGGGAGGGGGGAAAGGGCGGAGGGGTGAACTTGCCCCACGCGCCTGGCCCGGCCCCCCGGGCTGCTTCTTTCCGCTTCTTTGCTCTTCTGCTTTTGGCTGCACGCAAGGAAAGCAGCCAAACTCTTTCTTTCTCTCCCCCCAAACTCCACCAGAAATGAGTCTTTGGGACCCTGCAAGGCCTCCTGCTCCAAGAGGCTGCGCCGGCAAAGGCTCATTTCTGGCGATGTTTGGGGGAGAGAAAGAAAGACTTCTGCTGCTTCTGTTGCTTTCCTTGCATGAAGCCAAAAGTCTCTCTCTCTCTCCCACCGAGAACGGAGCTGGAGACGGTATCCTGCGATCCCAAATAAAGAATGATTGATCAGTAGGAAAACGGAGTGGGGGATTTTCCTGCAGACTTTTTTGGGGGGATTTTCCCAGGGTCTCTGGTCCGCGGGATTTAAAATGATGAGTTTGGTGGTTCCTGAGGCCCAAAAGGTTGGCGACCCCTGAGCTAGTTCAAAAAGGGGCTGTAGAACTAAGGACAGCTCCTATCATTGCGAAATGCAACCTGCCCACCTAAAACTCACACCCAAACCCACCGCTCCCTCCCCCCCTCCCCCCCTCGGGAAACAAGTATGCCCTTCTCCCTTTTCATCCACCCGCCCCAACTCACCGCCGGCAGGTCTGCCCTCAAAGGTCAGGATGGGGCAGGAGGCCTCCGCATCGTAGAGCACCGCTCTGCCCGTCTGGAAGGCTGCCACCACCCGCGTGGCATCGGTGCTGGAGAAGGCGACGGAGGTCGGGGTGCCATTTTCTGAAGGAGAGAACCGGCGGGCCCACGGAGGGGGGGGGGAGGTCAGCCCTCGAACACAATGGTAATTAAAAACAAAAACAAAACCCTCCGTTCTGTAGTATTCGGATTATTAACTTACAGGTAATGCTCGACTTAGAACCGTTTGTACGCTGGCCATTTGGAGTTACAACTGGTTTATATTCAAGGTGGTTTCTATCTTGTTAACTCTCAAGACTCTTTTTTTCTGCTATGTATTCTAAATCGGGGGTCTCCCACCTTGGACACTTTAAGCCTGGCGGACTTCAACTCCCAGAATTATGGGAGTGGAAGTCCTCCAGGTTTAAAGTTGCCAAGGTGGAAGACCTGTGTTGTAAATTATGTATATATAAATACACACATAGACACACACACACACACACACACACATATATGGATCTTTGGTTATTCGGGTTTTCTCCCGGGTAAGATTGGAAGTATCTAGGCAACGTTTCGATGAAGTCCCCACCCAATCAAGTCACACCCCCACTAGCAGTTAAAAGGAAGAAGCAGCTGCAAGCTCACATCACTCTGAGAAGCACAGAGCCGAAGACACAAGCCTGAACATTATGATGAATGAGACTTCATCGAAACGTTGCCTAGATACTTCCAATCTTACGCGGGAGAAAACCCGAATAACCAAAGATCCACATACAAATACCCGCAAGAACCTCAGAAAATATATATATACACATACACACACACACACACACACACACACATTTACATACATACATACATACATACATACACACACACACTCGCAGGGTACCCGTGCTTCACTATGAAACTAGGTGGTCAGGCTTAGTTTCTGGGGAGGAAAAGAAGAGGGAAAAAATACTGCCTCTGCCTACCAGCATCCATCAGTATTCATCTGGCTAGCATCCTGTCAGTGTGTGAGAGTTGAGGGCTGTTTGGAAACTGAAACAGTATTTGCTGTGTAAACAAGGAGACAGGGAAGAGCCTGGAGCGTGGCTCAGTTCAACTGTTCTGGACTAAAGCTGCTTGCTGCTGCTATGAAACCGAAACTGAACCTCCTCAGCTTGTGTTTTGCACTTTAGAAGAGATTTCTTTTTTTCAGGTGGGGAGGGGGAGTAGAACTCCTTAGCATCAGAGCATGTTAATAATAATAATAATAATAATATAGGAAATACTCTAAATGCTCTGATGGTCATTTTGAAAAATCCTTTCTTAGGGAGCCCCTAGAAGTCAAGAGGAACATAGGTGCCCAATTTCAGGTTTGTAGGTTGTACGGTTCTGAAGACTTTGTGATGATGCGTGAGGGGCCTTTCGCTTTTATATATAGAAATATATAGATATGTTTGTGTGTGTATAGGGTGTTTTATATATACATTTATGTATGTATGTATATGTGTACATACACACGCACACGCTTTTGAGAGCACGCACCAGAATTTCATTTTTTAAGGCGTTCCAGTGTGTTCCAGATTCTCTTAGCTCATCCCACCTTATCTTAAAAGCCTGGGGTCTGCCCCACCCCTTGTGGTGCCAGGGGAATCCCATGCACCACCACCCCCTCTGCAGACCCCTCCCAGCCCAGCTCACCGCTGCTGTCCCCGTTGTAGGTGCTAAGACAGGAGCCGCTGCAGGGGTCCCATATCCTCACGGTGCCGTCTGCCGAGCAGGAAGCCAAGCGATTCCTGGCGAGGCTGAACGCCAGACTCCAGACGGCGTCTGTGTGGCCGTCCAGGACAGTGTGGAGCACGCTTGGATCTACGCCACAAAGAGGGAAGAGGCAACATCTGGCACGCTTCGCTTGGCGCAGACGGGGCCCGGCAAGCGGGGGAAGAAATCGGACTAACAGGCCCCTTGGTTGGTTCTACCTGTGAGCCGCTGAGATTAGTTCAGATCAAACTAGCATCAAAGCCTGTTGGCTCTAGTGATGAAGGAACGAGGCTAGAAACTAGGAGGCTGGGAGTTCTAGTCCCACCTTAGGCATGAAAGCTGACTGGGGAACTTTGGGCCAATCACCAGGAGACTGGGAGTTGTAGTCCTGCATTAGGCACGAAAACCGGTTGGATGATCTTGGCCCAATCTCCAGCAGACAATAAATTCACTCTCTCTCAGCCCAACCCACCTCACAGGGCTGTTGTTATGCAGAAAATAGGAGGAGGAAGGAACGTTAGTTATGTCCGCTGCCTTAAAGTTGTTCATAAAAAATAATAAAGGTGGGATAAAAATAATGTCTCGGTCATAAATCAACCACGTTTACAGATTCTCCCAGGCGTTCCCAGGTTAGGCGGAAAGACAACCACGGAAGAAGCGATCAGCCATTCAAGACAACGTCAAAGGGACGCTGAACTGAATGATGACGCAACAACCAGCTAAGGAAAGCCAAAAGCCTCCTTCCAGATCAGCAGGAGGAGGGAGGGAGGGAGGGAGGGAGGGACGCCCTGAGCCCAAAGCCGCGGCACCAGAAGGATGAAGGGATCCACGGAGGACGCATCGTTTCTCAACCAGCGTTTGTGGAGGAAACGAGACTGTCAAGGTTGTCCCTCCTCTTTTGTCTCTGGTTCTAAACAAGGAGGAAGCCCCATTAATGGTTCTCCTGCCTCCCAACAATAAAACTCGACTCTCCATCTGAGCGTTTCCTTTCGGGATTGAACTTTGCGAGCAAGGAGAGGAGGAGGAGGAGGAGGAGGAAGAGGAAGAGGAAGAGGAAGAGGAAGAGGAAGAGGAGGAAGAAGAGGAGGAGGAGGAAGAGGAAGAAGAGGAGGAGGAGGAGGAAGAGGAGGAGGAGGAGGAAGAGGAGGAGGAAGAAGAGGAGGAGGAGGAGGAGGAAGAAGAGGAGGAACAGGAAGAGGAGGAGGAGGAGAAGGAAGAGGAGGAGGAGGAGGAGGAAGAGGAGGAGGAGGAGGAAGAAGAGGAGGAGGAGGAGGAGGAAGATGAAGAGGAGGAGGAGGAGGAACCAGGGGAGCTTCCTACCTACCGTAGCCGTCGTAAGGGTCCATGCCAAGATCGGGGATCTTCCAACAGCGGATTCTGGCGTCTGATCCCCCACTGTAGCAGGACTCGCTGTTGCAACCCATGGCCACCGAGAGCACCGGGCCCCTAAGGAGGAAGCCAAAGAGAGGAAGGACGACTTTGGAAGAGGAAAGGAGCATCTCTGTACACCCAAATGACGTTTCCAAACACGATGATGAGGCACCTGGAGGTGACCTGGGAAGGTGGTTTTGTGAGTCCTTCGGCAAACTGAGTGCAGAGTTGCCTTCCGAGGTACTCGGGGCCACCCCTCCCCCCTTGTTAGGCAGGGCAAATCGGCCGAGTGGGGCAGCTGCTGGGGGTCACAAGGAGGCCCCAGGCTGCCATATAATGTATTTATCATTGTGCTGGTAGTCCTTGATTTATGACAATTGAGCCCAACATTTCTGGTGCTAAGCGAGACAGCTATAAAGTGAAATTTACCCCGTCTTACGACTTTTCTTGCCACGGCTGTTAAACGAATCCCTGCCGTTCTTAAGTTAGTCCCATGGCTGTTTCAGTGGTTCTGGCTTCCCCCCATTGACCTTTGCTTGTCAGAAGGTCCCAAAAGCCGATCCTATGCCCCTGGGACACTGAGTCCGTCATAAATATGAGTCAGTTGCCAAGCAGCTGAATTTGGATCACTGACCGCGGCTATGGTCGTGTGAAAAAACCGGTCCTAAGTCCCTTTTTTCAGGGTCCTTGTAACTCTTGAGCGGTCACTGGGTGAATTGTTGTAGGGTCGAGGATACCTGTAACTTTCCCACAAGGGAAGTGGGGAGGAGCCAGTGGGATTGCCTGCCTGGCATCCTAAAAAGCCCCCCCGCCCCATTTGCAGCAAGCACATCCGCGCACCTGTGTCCTCGGAACGCGTAGATGGGTTCCACGTCCAGCGCAGCGTTCCTGCGAGAGAAGAGAGAGGAGCCACAAATAGACCACAGCTTTTACAGGATGGGACTGGTTTATTTGGGCGCTGCCCAGAGGCCCAGAAGTGTGGTGGATGGATGGGTGGGAGATAGATAGATAGATAGATAGATAGATAGATAGATAGATAGATAGATAGAT